TAGCATCAAATTATTAAATTGCTTGTCAATTTAATTTGCGATTATTAGAGTAGTTTTAATTGCGTTTATTTAGTCAGGAAAAATAATTCGGCGCGCAGTTTGTGAAAAAAAAAGACTACAATATGGTCACCGACGAGATACTATTGAAGACCGACATCCTTACGGGAGTTCGCGTCCTTATGAATATTGAAGTGATTAAGAGTTAAAAACTGATAATATTATGGGTGCGTTCCGTTTCTCGCATGATGCGCATAATGCATCGTTTATCCTTGTTGCTCACCAAACGTTAAACAAGGACAATGGATGCATCATGCACATCATGCGCGATACGGAACGCACCATATACTAATTTTATGATTTATTAGTTTAGTAGATGTATTTATGCATTTATAACTCAATAATACTCGATTTTTCTTGAAAATTGAGATTTCAGTGTTATATATATATTATCAAAGTTTGATTATCAATAAAGATGATAAAATTCCAGAGAAAAAAATTGTGATTTTTTTTGCAATATATAGGATATTACAGCTTTACAAGTAAGTATATATATTCATGGGACATTTATGTAATAAAAAATCATGAATTTAATAATGCATGAGCCAAATATTTATGTTAATAGCAAATTTATATCAATTGTCGGTAATGTCAGCGTTCTTGAATTACCTCCGGGCCCTTAGGGCCCTTTTTATACCGCCGAAAATTTGCCCAGGGTTGACGGTCTTTAATAATATCTCGTCGGTGATATGGTATATATGCAAGTACATATATAGTATATATTAGTAATTCAAGATTGAATTATTTAAGCAACGAAGATCTAGTTTCTAATAGCCCCTAAGGGCCCGGAGGTAATTCAAGAACGCTGACATTACCGACAATTGATATAAATTTGCTATTAACATAAATATTTGGCTCATGCATTATTGAATTCATGATTTTTTATTACATAAATGTCCCATGAATATATATACTTACTTGTAAAGCTGTAATATCCTATATATTGCAAAAAAAATCACAATTTTTTTCTCTGGAATTTTATCATCTTTATTGATAATCAAACTTTGATAATATATATATAACACTGAAATCTCAATTTTCAAGAAAAATCGAGTATTATTGAGTTATAAATGCATAAATACATCTACATTTTTTCAAGAATAAAGTATACGCCTAACCTGTGTTGACTAGCATTGGCTGATTTACATTTATCTTTGGAAAAAAAAATTTTTTTTAATCGGCCTCTCAGCTCAAAAGCTTCCAATTCATGCCAAAAAGACACCGTTAAATTTTTATCAAAAAATATTAAAATTTAATTTACATAATATGTAGTTTATTTCAATTAATTAAATCATTTTTTTTTCATATACTTATTTTTTAATCAAGAGTTTTATATCGTCAAATTGAGGCATTTGATTTGAGGATGTCAAAATTACAAAGCGATAAATTTAAGAACTTCTAAAAAAATTGTTCTATCTTTAAAAACGTTTTATAAACCAGTTAAATGCAACTTTTAAAGGCTCTTAAAGATAGGAGGTCCCAGGAAAATTCTAACTGAATCTTGTTTTAGGTGAACAAGACCTACAATTTGAAGGAAGTAACAATCCATTTGAACAGTTGCAACCTTGCTAAAATCGACCTTGAAGCCTTGAACTCGAAATTTGGTCATTAATCGAGCTGTATTTCTTAAGGCGTATATCGTAGAGCTAAATGAATTGTTGTCGTGTTCAGCGACCAAAAAAACATACAGTAACACATTTAAAATCCAGATTAAGTCATTTTTCCATCAAATCAAACATGTATTATTAAGGTTCCTGAGTAGTCACCACAGCCATATTGAATCGTGAAGTCAGAAGCGAGAAATGATACATTAATTTTTATTACGTGTCATTTATAAATAAAGACAATTTGGATAAAAATGATGAGATTAGACAGTAAATAATCGTAAAAAGTGATAAAAGGCACATGAAATGCTTTTATTCAATGCGCATGTGTAGCTTATTTTTACTTAAACGTACCTTTATCACTTTTTACGATTATTTACTAACTGTCAGGGGGGATAAGCAGTTTTCGTTCATTTTTACAAATGTTTTAAAGCAATCTCATCATTTTGTTTTATCCAAATTGTCTTTATTCATAAATGTCATGTAATAAAAATTAACGTGTCATTTCTCGCTTCTGACGTCACAATTCAATATGGATATGGTGACTACTCAGGAGCCTCAAGGAAAATCAAAACTTTGATTTAAAAATCGTTTACCTCTAAATCTTAATTTTTTGATACAAATTTAGGAGTGTTCTTTTGGCATAAAGTGGAAGTTTTTGAGCTGAGAGACAGGTTAAAAAAAGTTTTTTTCAAACACGCGCGCGCGCGTATGTGTGTGTATATCGTCATGTCATCTTTATTATTAATGGATTGTTGAAATTTTATTTTCATTGCATTAGCAAAAAAAATCAAGGAAATGATTTTGTCAAAGAATTTACATTTAATCCTTACCGTACTAATATGGGTAACTAGTGACCGAGCGATTCCTGTTCGTGCAAGTTTCTTTGAGTCTTTCGGTAATTATAAATTATACTACATTTTATTATTTTCCAAAATAAAGAGTCAATATTTATTCTAGAAAGTTGAAAGTATGTTGGTGAATTTTTAGAAATTTTTTGAATTATTTTGAAGAGGTGAAAAAAACGAAGACATTCTAGTGACCCTTGATGGTATGGATGAGGCACCAAATTGTAGATAGTACGGTAAGGGTTAAAAATAAAAATTTCCAAAAATTTCCTTGTATAATCCCATAAAAATTTTATTTTACAAGAGTAAAAAAAGAAATTCCATGAAAATTCCAGGTTTCCCATTTTTTCTCGGTACAGACTGTTTTATTATTTATATATTAAAATTTAACTTAATAAATATGTTAATATGTTAAAAATTATGTTTCAATTATTCAATACAATTTAATTCGATTCGAGAAAGATTTTGTCAATCTGGTTTGATTTGGATTCAAACAAAGAAATTCGACTCGATTTGGCATAAAAAAAAAGCTTTGATTTGCACAACTCTAATAGGTACATTAATAACTTACTTTCTGTATACGGGTTCAACAAGAGCCTGAATCATTTTACACAATGCTAGAGCTATGGGACGTTGATCTGTAAAACAATAATCCGGCAAGCGATTGAATAAACTTTGTGCCACTTCCCAAGCTCCAACTTCCAAAAGCGCTTCACATAATCCAAATTTTTGATTGCTTGCATATTTGTCCTTTAAAACGGAAGAGACCAAAATGTGAACAATTAATTAAACATAACAATTAATTAAACATAACTGTTAAAAAAAATTAAATCTTATATACAACTTTAAATTAGCATTTTTGTTCAAAGACAGTTTTATAAGTCTAATTAAAAAATTGATTTGCAAATTATTATAAATTTTGAATATATGTAGATGTATTCTTTCACTAGTTACGTTTCATCAATTTTTTTTGCTAAACTCAAATTTGTGACAAAAATAATTTGTAAAATTTCTTTTTGTTTATTACTTGTGCATTTTCCTTCTCTTCCGCAATGTCCTCTTTATCTTTTGTTGAGATCACGCTCATTTTTCGCACGTATTCCTTGGCCTGCTTCATCACTTGCTCATGATTTGATATGATAATTTTATCGTCTGGCACTAGCCAAGGTAATATATCATCCAGTTTAATCACACCATGCTGCAGCATTAACGCGGTAACCTTCTGCAGCGAGAACGGCGTGGCGTTTATGGTGGAGCAGTATTTGAATCCTAACACTTCACAAAGTACCTGCTGATCGCTCATGTATGAACGTATTAAGGGAATAAATAGAGCATCATCTTGTGGTCGGTTTTCAAAGGTTTCTAATAAGATATCGAGTACTCTATTAGGATCAAGATTGAAATAACCTGTAAGGATAATATCATCTTGTACTTTTATTACTTTTTCCTTTAACTTAATTACTCATAAATTTTTATTTTTATTACAACTATATAACTCTTGCAACGTATAGATCTCTGAAAGAAGCGATATTTGTACTTGCAATAAAAACATTAACCAGTTATTCATACCAATAAGAGATTTAACAATTTCCAATGTAGACGCCACCTCACTCTCTGGACGCTCTTGATTTAATTCTACAATAAGCTTAGAATAGCCCTCACTCTCTTCACGAAATAAATTAAATTTTCTTTGTTTATAACTGCAAAAAGGTAAGCAGGCTGTAAGAAACTTCTTTACTCTATAAATAAGCTTTATATAAATTGATGAGAAAATACTTACTACAACTTGGTTTTTACTTTTATAAACTTGGTTTGAAAATTTTTGTTTTTCAATGTCCCTACATCTTGTAAAGTTTCAATCTCTAAACGTTCTTTCAATATTCTATCGGTCAAAAACTGTAGGGAATAAATAAGAAGTTAAAGTAACATACTGGAACTTAAGCTCAATTAATTAAAATAAATGAAAAGTAGTAACTCCGGATATTATATTAGAATCGCCGATAGTGCTATTTTAGCTCTGCTAATCATGTTAACTTTTTTTTCTTTTTTTGTATTAGATATATAGTAGAAAATATTAAATATAAAAATATATAAATACAAATAATTCTAACAATACAAATAATACAAAAATCGTTTCATTAACCAAAAACAAGGATAAAAAATTAACACCTTTAGCAATTCTAGCGGGATATTGTCGGTTCATAAAAATGTGTAGAATATAACATTTAAATATATAAATAAATGTATAATCTTATACCTTCTCAGACTCTTTCACAATATAATAAAAGTTACTCCTTTCTTCATTATGAGCTTCTACATCAATTAAAGTAAATATATCCACTATTGCAGATGGTATGGAACCATCAAAACCCTACAAATAAATTATACATGTTAGTATATTATTACAATATCATTTAATTTCGATACAATTTTGTACAAAGTTTAAGATAATAAAAAGAATCTTGTCATACCATAAGTTCACCTAATGTCTGAACTACAATGTCCTTTTTTACGTTTCCATGGATTCCATTTGATATTAATTCGTATAATCCGCGTCTCCATTCTATAAAAAAAAAAAAATAATAAAAATCCTTTATCGCAATGTACAATGTCACAATTATATAATCAAATAATATAGAACGTTTTCAAGCAAGAGACATGGTTGACGTGATGCAACATGATGAATTATTTCATTCTTGTTCACTGTAAATAACAAGAATGATATGATTAACAGTGTTACACTGTGTCAACTGGGTCACTAACTGAAAAATATTCATAACTTAAATATAAAACATTCACATATATGTAGAAGAATAGTACCAAATATAATACAAAATAAAAACTTGAAATAACATATATGCTTTGACTTCTATCTCCTTTACAAAATCTCAGCACAAGAAAACAAGAAAATTCATCATTGTAACGTTATTTCAATATGCAAGTCATCATAACTGCTTTATATATCACATATACAAAAATTTTCTTTTGATCCAAGTATTAGATCATGATTATGTATTTTGATGCTCTGAGACCGAATTTGATGTTCCATCACGTCACAATTTTTATCGATAGAAAATAACTTCCATCTGTTTTAACTAGCTTATCAACTTTATAAACTTGCATATTATCGTTGAATTTACTTTCTGTTTTTTATTTTAGTTTGCATATTAAAAACCAGGCTATAAATGGTTCCGAAAGTACTAGAAAATCATGTTATTTCCCATTGAAAAAATAGTGACTTGATAAAGCAATTTGGACATTGGATTTGTAGTTCCAGAATGTCAATGTACATAAGAATACTATAGTCTAATATCTGGATCAAACATTAAATTTTATTTTGTATATCTGTGTAATTAATGTGACCAGATATTTTTAGCAAAGCAAGATATTTTATATTAAGGGATGGAGGAGAATGTAAATGGATATAATGTTAAATATATAATATTTAGATATATAATAATATAAAGATATAGTATCAGACTATTTTTTGTCTTGATGAAGTAAATTGCAATGTTCATAAAACACAGGTATTCTAATGGATCTGGACATGGAGATAACTTGCCAAATACTTTTATATAGCTCTTGTATAGAAAGTATCCATAGAAATCTCAAAAGCATTAAAGGTAAATTAATAAGTTTTTTTTTTAAATAATGCAATTATTTTTTATTTTTAGATGTTAGCAGAAAAACGATCACCTTGAAAATGGAACTGTTGCACTAAAAGCAAAACATCTGGTCACATTATACAAAAATCATTATATAAATGATCTGTATAATAAAATGCAATGTATATTAAGTAAATTGAACAAAAAAACGAGATTCAAACAGAAAGAAAAAATTACAGGTATTTTTTCAGCCCTATTCGAGTTACTATTCGAGAGTATATATAATTCATAAATAAGTGAATAAAAAATTGATAATTGTATCATGAAATCGAAAGAATACATAAAACTGCGTTATGCTGAAGTAAGCAATACATAGAACATGTATGCTAAGGGGAAGGTTGTGCTTGTGCCTGCAGGAACAATACAGTGATCATGTCATCTTTGTTTAACATTAGCAAACAAGGATGTAATGATCCATTGTGTCACACCATGTCATATGTCGCTTATTGGGAGGTACATAAAGCGGATCGGCATGCTAACTCTGAACGCGTTCAGAGCGTATACTCGTGGCTTTATTACCTAGTGTGTTGCCTTCCTTAAATTTGTGCTTGATTAGCTTGAGGCTGCAAACAGTCGTGAATTGACAAATTAAGTCTTCAGTAGAGCGAGTTAACGGGGAGAAGATAAGTGTTTTCGCGACCAGCAATGCACCGTGTCGATCGCGTCGACCAGGCGACGCGCAAACAACACCACTTACAAATCAATTTTCCCATGCTTATCCCATGACTTCCACAATTCTGTATGCCATACTTTGCTAGCCATATTCAGCGCTCTGGTCCGTTTAAAAAAAAATGGAGCTTCGAGCGTACACCAGGAATTAAAAATCAACTCGACATCGCAGGTTAACAGAGAGAAAGTAAGTATCTTTTTCCTTCCATTCGCCACTATGGCAGTATGGCTACGCCAGGCCAGTGATGGTATCAGTGATGATATACGGGCTGCTTTTCTTGCGCACGCGCATCGGTAAAGTCACGTGAACCAATGGTGTCTCGCGCTCGCCTAGTCGCTTTAGCCGGCTCAGTCTCGTCTGGTCTCGTCTTCTTGGGCCGTGGCCGTGGGCATCTGTGTTATGGGCGCAAAAGTCTAGTTTTGGCGGGCTCAACGGAGGCAAGAGACAGGAGATTAGAAATGTTTTAGGTAAGTATAAATCTATTTATTTCACTATAAACACACAATATTTTTAGAATATTGTATGAATATTATTAATTCTTTTTAATATTCATATAACTATGGCCCGTATTCAGAACGCGCTTTTATCGATAAAAGCGCACTTTTATCTCTGAAATTCTATAATATACGTGACGTAAAGTATAGTATGTAGCGTGCTAACATCGTTGTAAGCGCGTTCTGAATACGGGCCTCTAAGGCTGGTATTCATAGTCAGATCTTATATTCAAGACCGTCTTAAGTACAGTCTTAAGAAGTCACGAACCAATCAGAGGGCTGCATTAGCGTCTTAAGACATTACTTAAGACGGTCTTGAAATAAGAACCGACTATGAATACCGGCCTAAGAATAATGTGTCTTATAGGTTATTATTAATATTGTATTTATAAAGTTATTTTTATCTTTCCTTTTTTCCAGCTTATTTTCAGCCTATTCTTAACGTTAAATTTGTATTAAATGAAAATATATAAAAATGTATTATATTTGACGGGTGATTACAGCACTCCTTTTTACTCGTATTAGATACTTCATTGAGAGCGCATACGCCTCGCATGCGCACGAAAAGCGGCCCGTATACCATCACTGCGCCAGGTTATGCCGAAGTAGTGTCGCCAAGTGATTTTGAAAGGTAAAACGTATCTCCTAAGTTTCCACTGAGCGCGTCACGCGTCGCGTCGTCGAAGGAGAGAAAGAGAGGGGTTGTGAATTTATTTAATCTTATTTCTTTCTCTCTTTCATGACGCGACGCGTGACGCACTCAGTGGAAACGTACCATAAGGCTGAGTTTCCACTGAGCGTGTCGCGTCATCGAAGGAGAGAAAGAGAGAGGTTGTGTATTTTAAATGACTGTATTATGAAATTTGCTTGAACCAAATCGTTTAATCTTCCGAAGTTGCAATTACAATTTGCACACCTTTTGTCACAGTTGTCTATTTGTGCATTGCACCACCGTATACGCACACCTTTAAATAATTTACAATCAAAACATAGTGCAAGCAATTTCATAATACAGTCATGGAATATCAAAATACTAGAGAGACTACCTATCCAACGGAATTTCCGTGACCGTAGCGCCTATATCTATAATTCGGTCAAATACATGATATTTTAATATTTAATTAAAAATGTCTAGATGACTCACAAACGTTTTTAAGGACGTTCTCCGAAAAATCCATTTTCTTTAGATTTTTCTGAAACTTACAGAATAAGCTTGTTTTAGTGTTCTGAACATATATACTTTGAAGCTCAGTACTCGTTGCGGGATTAAAAATCGAGATATTCCACTTCAAAGTTGAAACGTTTAACATAGAATCCCTATCTAAAGCTTATTCGAAAGTGGTTTTTTATTCACTGTAAACAAAGTTTTCTTTAGAATTTTTTGAAACAAAGAGACATAAAACTTGATATTACAAGGAATAATATGAAATTTTCCTGAATATGCCTTCCGGTATTTATATTTAAGAAATTATTTAACAAAGTAAGTAGCTCGGCTATTTTTTCGACCGGCGGCAGTAACGAAGGCGAGAGGTATTGACGACTTGGCAACGTCGCGTCGTATACGCTTAACACGTGACGCGTGACAACACAAATAACCTCGTACTTTCTCAGGGTAGCGATCACGTAATTTCAGCAAAAAATTAATAAGATGATACAATACCCGAAGCAGGGCAGACACTGTCCATAACCTTACTAACACAACACAAAGCGAAAAAGCAGCGTTGCCGCATCGCACGGAGTGACGCAGTAGGATCATTTTTACACTTCTGCGCACACGGTGATACTCAACTAGTATTTTCTGTGTGTAGGGGCGATTGCGTGGACGCGAGTAAACTTTAGGTTGAGCACAACTGCAGTCGGAGAACGTCCTTAATGGTACTTCATAACTCTTCATACGAAATACAAACGATTCCATGTTTAAACTTTGTTGAATTTAAATCCGGTTAATTATTTCGGTCAAGTACATGGTCCAAAAAAGAATTATTAATTGTAATTAATATAATGACTCACAAACTTTTTTATTTGCACTTCAAAACTCTTCATACGAAATACAAACGATTTAAAATAATAATTTTTACAACCGGAGGTTTTGTCCGGTCAAGTACATACGAATCCAAAAAAGTGAAGTTTATATATGTACCACAACCCGTCTCTTTCTCTCTTTCGCGCCGCGTCGTGACGCGATGGACGACGCGACGCGTGACGCGCTCAGTGGAAACGTACCATTAGAATCCCCAAAAAATCCCTAACAGTTAGAAAAATCACCTAAATTTTCCCCCAAAAATTTGCGTTGCACAAAATTTAAAAAAAAAGTTTCTCCTAGCGGAAAATATCCCACAAAATTAATTGATCGATTATTTGCCTTAGTCTAACGGACTTTATCATGGACATAACGTGAAAAAGAATAAAAATATCGCTTTTAAAAAATATAAAGCAAACTTTATATATTATAAATGAGATGATCCCGATTGACCACGGCTCGATTGGACACCACCAATCACAGCGACCGGTGCTTAGGAGCTTTGTAGTCTCAAGCGCTGTGAGTGGCTCGTGTCCAATTGAGCCGTGTCCAACTGGGTGCCACACCCATGTATAAAACATTATATTATTTCAAATAATTATAGGATTTCCGTAATATTGCTAAAATCAAAATCATCGTACATAGATTAGAGGGGGTAATCTCGATTGATCACGGCTCGATTGGACACCACCAATCCCAGCGGTGCTTAGGAGCTTTGTAGTATCAAGCGCTGTGAGTGGCTCGTGTTCAATTGAGCTGTGTCCAACTGGGTGCCACCCGATTAGAGTCCTAAATTTATCAGAGAGGCGCAACCGGCTTAAGTCAGTATGACAAAGGTGCTAAGGGCTGCGTTCGAGGAGCGCGCTATCAACGCTACTTGTGTCATACTATCCTTGTTTCACATTTAATGGACGATGAAGATAGAATGACACAAATAGCGCTAATAGCGTCTCCCCGAACCCAGCCAAGGAGAGTATTAAACATGGCCGACATGCTATGAAACTGCCTTTAAATTATGTCAAACAAGATAAGACGTGTAGAATAATGTGAGATAGAATGCATAGGATAAAATGAAATAGAAATATGTCACTAGTACTATAATGGCTGCTAAGTCACGCAATTGGTTAGATTACAACAGCGAATCAGAATGCATAATACCGGTTGCGTCTCTCTGAGAAATCTAGGACTCTAAATTTATCTATGTTAGGGTGCCGTCACATGCGGCGTAACCTGTGTAAGGCTGGAGTCCCATGAGGTGTATTTACCGCGTATCGCGTAACCGCGTAACCAATCAGAAGCGATCCGTTGTTGTGGTTTCGCGTTTTACTGATTATTGATTGGTTACGCGGTTACGCGATACGCGGCAAATACGCTTCATGGGACTCCACCCTAAGCGTAATATACGTATTCTAGTAATTTACTAGAATATGTTATTTTTTATTTACTAGAATACGCCATTATGAAAGCCGGAAGGGCTCCGATTGCACACATCGCATATTGCACACATGTTTCGCTGATTGGCCAATTTAAAAATAAAATAATCTCATTGGCAAAACAGTGAAAAATTACTAGGTACCAGTTGATATGAGTGGTGTGTATAATCAGAACTGTAGGCAAACGGGATCCTCCCCTGAAAGCCCGCATTCACATTGAGCGCATTTCGCGGAAGATTAGAGTAATGCGGAACTAATGCAACCAATTGCTGATTAGAATTTCTGTACACCCTAACAGAAATGCTAAATGAATTTACGATTAGTTTTCGTTACCTACTCATCTCGAAAAGTACGCCTCATGGGGAACCGGTACCTTTCCATCGCGTATACAGGGTAACCCATTTTAACTTAGACAGCCAAATAACTCGAAACATCGCGATTAAATAAAAAAATGTTTAAAACAAAAATTGTTGGATATGAAGGGGCTGATTGAACTATGACTTTGACAATGACCTTGACCTTTATTTTCAAGGTTATTTGAAGGTCTACTTTCAATTTTCAAATAGAAACTCATATTTTTGATCCCGGATTTCGAAAGAGCGCAAAATTTTACGTCCAGATGAACTTTCATGTTATGGGTCAAAGTTGATCCATAACATGAAAGTTTATCTGGACGTAAAATTGTATACCATAGAGGTCATTTCAAAGACAATTTCCTAATCGAAGCAGAAAGCCAAAAAATCTTGATTTTTCCCGGATAGTGTTTGTGAGAAAAATTGTTGGATGTCGAGGGGAGACAAACCATAACCCTGACAATGTCCTTGAACTCATATTTTCATGACCATTTCAAGGTCAAGTGGGGATTTTTAATAAAATTTTATGCTGGGGATAAAAGTAATTTCCTTTAAATCGATCTAGCGTGAGTTGGGCTGTTTGTTGGTTCGCACTTACCTAGACAACTAAGGAACCTAACACAGAACTGGCTACTTACCTCGGTGAAGAGATGACCCACCAGTCACATAGTGCAAAACGGGTGGCACCCAGTTAGACACGGCTCAATTGGACACGAGCCACTCACAACGCTTGATACTACAAAGCTCCTAAGCACCGGTCGCTGTGATTGGTGGTGTCCAATCGAGACGTGGTCAATTGATATCACCCCGAGCAAAACCCTGCCCCACAGCTACCTTGATTCAGCGCTTAAGCCTTCCCACCATCTACAAGGTCCTACAGCCCCTAGCGAAGGAATGTGACCCAGCCAGTGAAGGCA